ACCACCTCAAAAAGCAGGTCTCGGTCCAGTTGTTTGATCCGCACCAGGGTTCACATGAGTGTATTCACACCTGCACAAAAGGTCCGGACCAACGCTGGAAACGAACTCTGGTTCGTTTAAAGCGGAGCAAATTATCAGGTCTGAATACGACCTTAGTGTAAAAATGATAACTGGCAATTGGCAGCACGACGGATCAGTGGTTAGCACTGATGCCTCACAGCAAGAAGGTCCTCGGTTCGATACCCGGGGTCTTTCTGTGTGGAGTTTGCATGCTCTTCTCGTGCTTGTGTGGGTTTTCTCTGAGTACTCAGGTATCCTCCACAGACCAAAAACATGTACAACAGGTTGCCTTCAGGCCCAGGCCTCCCCTGTAAAAGAGATCTGCGATCTCAACAGGGGTTTGCCTGGTTAAATAAAGAAACTTAAAAAATATATTTTTCTACTCTGTTTGAACAGGAACACCAAGGCAAACTTACTGTACGGCATCTGCTGACCCCGTCAGAGAAATACTTCTTTCTGGAAGACCAACACTGTCTGTGAATCAACAAGACAACATTTATTCAACTACAGCAACTAGAACAATGTAATACAACACTGATTTATAATAATACACCCTATATCATAACTCACCATGTGCAATTTGGACCTTACAGCCAGAGTCATGTTGTATTTTGTTAATTTGTTCACCTCCTTTGCCAATGACTTCAGAAAAAAAAAAAACAGTTTGAAATTGTACACAAGCAACACACAGGAACAATCTGGAGGGTTTGAGAGTTGTGTGTTTATACTCACTGAGACCAATCATAGAATCCGGCACTCTGTACTCCTCTGTAACTGCAGAGGGCCTGACGCTACAGACACACGACAGGAATCAATATAAATCACCACGTAGGCCACGGTGTTCATGTAAAAGGACCACTAAAAATAACCTCTTACCTTTGTTGTGACAAAGCAGCTAACTGAGCTCCAATAGCTGTAGGAAAAGAAAAACGGTGATTGACGGAAAAGAGAGCAGAACAGCATGTGCAACCGTAGAAACGGGTTTATCTTACACATAGCTGAATCCATGTCGCTCTGTGGTGCTAACTTCTTAGCATCTGGTTCATCTAAAAACAAACAAAAACAACAGAACAACGGTTATTTCTAGCAAAACGAGAAAAGCAAAGTGCTCCTTTGTTCTGATTTCCAACCTCCTCCTTCAAGGGATCGTTTTTGTGATGTGAATGGATAATTTTCTACTCCTGTGTTGTTTGTCACTGGCGGCGCACCTTCTCCACCAATTTTAGCTGCAATCTAAGAAAAAAAAGAAGCAAATATGTGGTTGTAAGAAAATAAACAAAAATTTTTAGAGCACAGAGTGCATATTATATTTACAGCTTGAGGAGTGTGTCACTATCATCCTTTCTGTTCTGACGCAAGTCTGCGTGAAGATGTCTCTAAAGTGTTTAAATAAAAACATTTATCTCAACTCTGATGTAAGACTGTTCTCAAAGATGTTTTCTGCTAGTTGCAGTAGGGTGGGCATAATCGTATCGTGTGTAATTAATCATCAGAAAAACATTAATCGATTACTTTTTGGCACTTGATGATTAATACGATTAATGCCACCAGACAGACTGACTGGGGATGACTCCAGTCAGTCCGCTCGGTGCTCCTCTCCACTTCAAATATGACGAACATTAAAAATAAATTTCTGTAATTTATTTATCTATAACACAATTTAAAATATGATGTATAGCCTGAAATCTGTAATTTTCACATAATTTGGAACAATTTTATATAAAGAGCAAATCTTTCCCACTAAATTGGTCATGTTACTACGAAATAAGGGAGTCCAGGGTCTCCAGGAGATTAATCGTCAAATTAATCGTTATCGGCTAAATACCACAATTAATAGCGATTAATTTTTTTGCCAATATTGCCCAACCCTAAGATGCAGTGCTGTCTTAGTCAAACGCTACCATCGTTTTCATCTAGTAGGAATATGTGCAAAATTATTATTAAATCTTCATATTTTGATAAAAGAGGCCTGACTTGTGTGTTTTTTCTGGTTTTAACCAACTTCTCTATGCTTTGAAAGCTTTGAAACTTTATTTTTAAGATAAATACAATCTACGTTTTAGGGAATTGTTTATTTACATAAGAGCAGTGTTGTATAAAGTACCTCAAAGTGATACTTGAGTAAAAGTACAAGTATCTTATCATAAAAACACTTTGGTAAAAGTTAAAGTCTTCTCTAAAAATATTACTTGAGTAAAAGTCTTAAAGCGTCTGATATTTTTTGTACTTAAGTATCAAAAGTAAATTTCTGACAGAAAATCTACTTAAGTATTAAAAGTAAAAGTACTGAGTAAAAGTGAGCAGTTAGACTTTACAAAATGACATTTATTGGGAGGTGACTTCTTAAATATTTTTTCTAAAGGTGTGCAGCTGTGATGGGTTGTGTACAAGATAATATGGTGTCAGAATGGTTTATATTTATACTTCTCATCCAACTACAATTAAATTCACTCTGTCCAGGAGACACAATTTATCAGGATGGTATTTTTTAAGTAATAACTCAGAATAAAACAGGAGAAACGACTTTCTACTTCTTACCTTTTTTAAAAATGTAGTGAGTAGAAAGTACATAACTGTGTAAAAATGTAATGAGTAAAAGTAAAAAGTACGCTGAAAAATAATTACTCAAGTAAAGTACAGTTTCCCAAAAATTCTACTTAAGTACAGTAACAAAGTATTTGTACTTACTTTACAACTCTGCATAACAGTGAACTGCAAACCTTTTCGTTATAAATAGATACAAATAAGAAATAAACCACTTTGGTGTTTACATTTAACTCACATTTTACACACATTGATTTTTTTTAACAGTTATGATTTATTAGTTGCATCTGAAAACGATAAAAAGACAGCTTGACAGACAACCTATCTAAAGAAACGTGAAACAAACTCTTGGCACACATTTGATGTCAAGAATGATGAATCAGATCCAGAGTCGGGTCTTTGCTTGATTTCTGTTTCTTATAAAATATATTATTTCTTTCAGATATTCTGGTTCATGTTTGAAAGGCAAAAATATGTATTTATTTGCTCTAAACTTTTTGTCTTTTTTAAGGCATGTAGTCAATACTGATGAGCTATTAGCTATGTTTTTATAGGATTATTAGAAAATTACTATTTTGATTTGAAAATTAAATTAAGCCATTTCCACTTTTTGTGTTTAAATTACTTGAACTTTTAATTATATTTTGTAAGCAGTTTGCTGTTTATGTTCAATTTATGATTATAATATGTAACTTTTTGTTTGTTTACTTTTAGTTTAAATTATACATTTAACCTTTCACGTGGACTGCAAATGAAAATTCGGTGCAAAACTAAATTATTACAGAGATTAGTTTTATACAAACACTGCTTTTAATTTGACAGAATGTGAACACTATGACCTCCATTTATGACAAGTTTTCGGTATATATTGTTAAAATATTCTGACTGTACGATTTTATGCTTGATAAATAAGTGAAAGTTTTTCAGTTGTTCAATCAATTATGGACAATAATTTGGCACATTAGAGGTTTTACAATTCACCACGGGCTCAATAATTTAGTTACCGGAAATGTTAATCCCTAAAATTGATGTTTATTACTCGAGACTAGCTAACGCTTGATGAACGTAATGTAGTAAAACATAAAACTAATAAAATATCAGCATAAAAAGAGATCTAAATTACCTCGTTTACACCGTATAATTGTTGAGATCATCAGTTAACATGAGGCGCTCCTCTGAATGCCACAGCTATTAGCTAGCCTGTTAGCATGCTAACTGAAGCTAGCGGCTAACTAGCTCCGCTTGTAGCCGAAGACCGGACTTACCTGCCTGGCTCGTTGTACCGCATCCGCAAAAGCGTCTTTTTTCACCCCACTGCCAACTCCGTTAGATGACAGACCGCCGTAATCGGACATGCTGCTCTTAACAGGGCGAGCGAACACGCTTATATGGGGGAGGGCAGACTGTGTGAGGCTTTGTCCCGGGTCAGGTTGCGCAGAAACGGGAAGGTTAACAGGAGCGGACCGGGGGACATGAATGTGAAGCAGCACGCCGGCAAACTTCCCGGCTCAAACTGACCAATCAGAGCGCTTCCTGCTCCCGGGGTTTTCTTTCTTAAGTCTTTTAATCTGTAAGAGTTACTGTAGCAATTCAGAACACTGCCACCTGCTGGCTGGAAAGCTTAATGCATGAATTAAGAA